CCCCCCCTGGGGGGTGATTTCTCGCTTTCTGTCTCTCTGTCTCTCTCTATCTTTCAGGCGAGCGCACAAGACCTATAGCAAAAACCTCTCCAAAAAGAAAAAAAAATAAAGAAAGTCTATCTGCAGAGAGTGGATGAAAAGGTGCCAGTGAAGTACACTAAACACTTAACAATAAGAATGTAAGCTGTGTTGACTATAAGGATAAACTAAAAAATATTTTCTCCATTAAGACTGTAACACAAGGGACCGCCAAGTGGTTTGGTGGTTAAGGGCACTGGACTCCCACAAACTGCTGACTGCAGTTTGAGTTCCAGACCTGGCAGCTTTCTTTCTCACTTTCCCCCTCTCTCTTTCTCTCTCTCTCTTACTCTGTCCCTCTCTGGTCAAATTAAAATTAATTAATTAATTAATTAAAGTGGAGCTTGGCAAGAGTTTTAGGAAGTGAGACCAGGAAAGGCTTCATCTGGACTAGCCAGTCCAGATAGATAGATAGATAGATAGATAGATAGATAGATAGATAGATAGATAGATAGATAGATAGATAGATAGATAGATAGGTAGATAGATAAAGATATATAGATATATAGATATATAGATAGGTATAGATATGTGTGTGTGTGTGTGTGTGTGTGTGTGTATGTCTAAATCCCAAGAGAAAGCTAGAGAAGGGACTGGAATATGAACATCCTCTCTAGTGGTGGGAGGGAGTTGGGGGAGATTTCTCACTTTAATCTGTCTCTCTCTGGTAAGTACATACTCTATCACAAAAACTAAAACCAAAAAAACTAACTCGCTTTCTGTCTCTGTCTTTCTGGTGAGCTCAGCGCTCCACAGCAAAACCTCTTAAAAATTATCTTTCACAATTTCCCATCAAAAGAGGTTTAAATGTGCCTAAAATTATTAATCTCTTTCCTACAGGTTAGTTTTTAATAAACCTTCAGTTCTTTAATCTGACAGCCACCAACCCCAGCACACTGGAATCACTAATCATTTTTTTGATAACAGAATGAGTCACTGTTTGGGACCAGCAGGTGGCATGGAGGTTAAAGCACTGAACTCCCATATAGGCAATTGCAGTTCAAGTACCGGATCTTGCTTTCTCACTTTCTCTCTTTCACTCTGTCCCTCTCTGGATGGATGAATATAGATAGGTAGATAAATAAAGGCCAGTAGGTGGCATGGTAGTTAAGGGCACTGGACTCTCACATGTCCAACCTCAGTTCATGTCCTGGACCTAGCAGCTTGCTTTCTCACTCCCCCCCTTTTGCTCTCATTCTGTTCCTCTCTGGTCAAATTAAAAATGAAAAATTTATAATAAAGTTAAAATAATTCTTAAATAGTTAAATATTTTTTTTAAAACAAAAAGTAAGTCATGTTCAAAAATACTTAGATTAGATCCAGTGAATGAAACAAATGTGTCCCTTCATACTGATAAATGCATGGATAAAAAGGCATGAGTAAACCAAGACCTAAGTAATTATAAACAAATAAACTAGTTCCCTATTTAATGAAAATTACAATAAAATTTTAAAAGTAAGCCTGCCCTTTGATAAATCTGAATTAAGAAAAAATATGGACGGGAACCAGCAGTTAGCGTAATGGTTATGTTGCTGGACTCCCACGTAGTCGACCGCGGTTCGTGTCCCAGACCCGGTGACTTAAAACGCACGCCGGGCATGTGTGCATGAATGCCCAAGATCCCGAGGGGAGAATGGAGGAGAAGGGATTGCGGCGTGACCATCCCCTCTGGGGGGTGATTTCTCGCTTTCTGTCTCTATGTCTCTCTCTGTCTGTCTGGTGAGCGCATGCGCCCTATAGCGAAAAAAAACCTCTCCCAAAAAAAGAAAAAATATGGGGGAAGGGCTTTATTTAAAATGGCATAGGGCCAGTCAGGTGGCATGGTGGTTAAGGCAGCTAGAACTCTCAGACTTAATGGTTCAAGTCTGAACCTGGCAGCTGGAAAAATATGCCAGACATATGTGCATGGGTACCAAAATCTTGAAAAAAGAACAGAGAAGGGACTGCAGCATGGTCATCCCATCTGGGGGGAGGAGGAGGGATATCTCGTTTTCCCTCTCTCTTTCTCCAATATAATGTTCTTTTTTTAAAAAAATAATTATTTAATTTTATTTATTATTATTATTATTGTTATCATTATTTTAATCTGACCTGAGAGAGAGAGGGGGAAAGTGAAAAAGCAAGATGCCAGGTCCACAACCCAAACTGCAGTCGGCCATGTGGGAGTCCAGTGTCTTTACCATGCCACCTGCCAGCTCCAGCTTCCAATGTTCTAGCACGCAACATGGAACTCCATTTTCAAAAGAGCTAGAGTGATCACACACTGGAAATTATCTCCCTTAGATAGATCCTTTGGGTTAGAGCTACTAGGACGGTTAAGAATAGCAGATTGATGGACCACTCTCCTAACACAGACCATGAAGAAAGCAGTGCCTAGAAATTCTAGTGTCTGAAATTCCATTTTCAGGGATGAGTCTGGTAGGTTTCCCAAAACAATCAAGGTATACTGGCAGGCCAACGCTTTCCTTCCCTTGTTCTCTTTCATTAAAAAACATACTTTCCATGGCCAGAAGATGGCATAGAAGTTACGGTGCTGGACTCCCATATGGCCAACTGCAGGATCCAGGATCTGGTGGCTTGTAAACACAGGCCCAACACGTGTGTGCATGCCCAAGATCCGGGAGGACAATGGAGAAGGACGGAGGAGGAGGGACTGCTGTGCCGCCAACCCCCCTGGGGAGGGGTAATTTCTCACTCTGTGCAGTGCCCTATGGCAAAAATCTCTCTCAAAGAAAAAAAATAACATTATTATTTCAGGACCAGCAAATGGTGTAGCAGTTATGTCACTGACTCCCACGGAGCCTACCGAGGTTAAGAGTCCTGGACCTAGTGGCTTGAAATTCATGCCAGGAATGTGTGTGAGCATACCTAAGAACCCTGGAGGAGAATGGAGAAGGAATTGCAGTGTGGCCATCCTCACTGGGAGTTGATTTACTTTCCCTCTCACTGTCTGTCTCCAATGAGGGCATGTGCCTCAAGGCTAAAAAAAAAAAAAAGCTTTACCCTGCAAGAGCTACACTTTACCCAGCCTCCACAATAACTATGAAATAAGTCTAAGAAAAGGAAACAGGGGGACCAGCAGTTAGCGTAATGGCTATGTCACTGGACTCCCATGTAGTCGACTACGGTTCGAGTCCCAGACCCGGTGGCTTAAACTCACACTGGGCGCGTGTGCGTGCGTGCGTGCCCAAGATCCCAAGACGAGAATGGAGGAGAAGGGACTGCGGTGTGGCCATCCCCCCTGGGGGGTGATTTATCGCTTTCTCTCTGTCTCTGTCTGTCTCTGTCTGGCGAGTGCACATGCCCTATAGCAAAAACCTCTAAAAAAAAAAAACAGTGGCCACAGCATGCCAGATAGAACTGGCACTGACAGAGAAAGGAAAAAAGCAAATTGGTCCTCATAAGGGTGGACTTTGTCCAGTAGAAATTCCAAAGAACATCTCACTTCCAGCTGAGAGGTCACCAACGTACCATCACCAAAGGACAATGTTGTGTCAGAACTATGTACCATCTATTCCATGCTATTCTGAGTGATGAGGACACAGGGGTGAACAGGACCTAACAGGTGGGAAGTACACTGCTGGCACAGGAAGCAAACAGTGACAAGGGCTGTCTAATTTCGAGGAGCAGCACGTTGGAAAGAATGAAGCTTTAAGTTGCAAGGTGGGGGACCAGCAGTTGGTGTAATGGCTACATCACTGGACTCCCATGTAGTCGACTGAGGTTGGAGTCCCGGACCGGGTGACTTAAACTCACGGTCAGGTGCGTGTACGTGCCTGCCCAAGACTGCAAGAGAATAGAGAGGGAACTGCAGCGTGGCCATCCCCCCCGGGGGTGATTTCTCTCGCTGTCTGTGACTTTTTTGACGAGCGCATGCGCTCTATAGCGAAAACCTCTCCAAAAAAAAAGAAAAGAAATTAAGTTCCAAGGTGGAAGAAGGCGATGTGGCAGCTGGTTCGAGGTCTGAGCCCGGCCGAACCTGGGTCTGAATCCTCGCTTTACCAATCTGTGAACTGGGAGGCGCCTCGCCGAGTTGTGAGAACTGAACGCCTAATGCACGCAAAGCACTTCGCCAGGCTCTGGCGCTCGGAAGTGGTCTGAGAGCTCTCTCTTATTTAGTATCTCATCTTCTGGTCCCTAAAACCCGCTCGCACAGCGCCCGGAATCTCCTGAAGGATTTGGGAAGGTCGGCGGACTACATCAATGCACGAAAAACTGGATGGACGCGAGAAAAGAGCAGAAAGTGCACGAGGTGCTCGGCGCACCGCCAAGATCTCCCCACGCGAGCGAACGGACCACGGGCGCCCGGAGGAGGCCCGGCGTCTTCGGGGCAGGACCCCGGGAGCCTGCCGCGGGGACTGGCGGCGCGAGTCCTCCCGGCGGCCGAGAAGCGCCTCATCGCGCCTCGAGGGAGCGTCACGGGCGGACGAAGAAGCGCCAGTGGGGCATCCGGGTCGCGCCGGGGGGCGAGGGGCGGCAGGAAGAGACCTGGGTGAGGAAAAGGGCGGCCCAGCGCGCAAGGACTGGTGAGGAGCCGGCCCCCTCTCGGAGAAGTCCCTTCGGATCGCCGCGCGCGGGGACCGTTTGGACCTAACTGCCTTCCGTCTCGGCGCCCGTCCCCCAGCCCGAGTCTGCCCGACACCGCCGCCACATCCCGCCTCCCCCAGACGCCGCGCTCACGTGACCGCGGGCCTCTGGCGGGGCGCGGGGCGGGGCTCTCCTCGCGTGACGTGGAGGGGGCGGGGCCAAGATGGCGCTGCCCGGGAAGGTGAGGAACCCGCGGCGCGGACGGCGGAAACAGTGAGCGAGGTAGCGCAGTGGCGACTTGTGCAGTAGGTTGGAGGCGGTGGAGGTGACCCTGCGCCACCTCTCAGGCCGCAGTGACCTGCAGTGGAGCTCCCTCCTCGCGGCGGGGGGGCGGGGGGGGGAGCGAGAAGACTGCGGACTAGTCGGAGTGGCCGCCCTCTGCTTGGCGGGGCCCAGAGTCCCGGGCGTCCCCCACCCAGCTGGCTTCCCCGGAGCCCCAGGTCCTGAGCCATGACCCGGTAGTGCCCTCCATCTCCGCCGGCCCCAGGTCCCGGGGCTCCGCTGAGCGGGTCGGTGCTGGCGGAGGCGGCCGTGGTGTTCACAGTGGTGCTCAGCATCCACGCAGCCGTGTGGGACCGATACTCATGGTCCGCCGTGGCCCTAGCAGTGCAGGCCTTCTACGTGCAGTACAAATGGGACCGGCTGCTGCAGCAGGGAAGCGCAGTCTTCCAGTTCCGAATGTCCGCAAACAGTGGCCTCCTGCCTGCCTCCATGGTCATGCCTTTGCTGGGGCTAGTCATGAAGGAGCGCTGCCAGGCTGCAGGGAATCCGTACTTCGAGCGTTTTGGCATTGTGGTGGCAGCCACAGGCATGGCAGTGGCCCTCTTCTCATCAGTGTTGGCTCTGGGCATCACTCGTCCAGTGCCCACTAACACTTGTGTTATCTCGGGGTTGGCAGGAGGTATCATTATTTATATCATGAAGCACTCGCTAAGTGTCGGTGAGGTGATCGAAGTCCTGGAAGTCTTACTGATCTTCGTTTATCTCAACATGATCCTGCTGTACCTGCTGCCCCGCTGCTTCACTCCCGGGGAGGCGCTGCTGGTGTTGGGTGGCATTAGCTTCGTCCTCAACCAGCTTATCAAACGTTCTCTGACTGTGGTGGAAAGCCAGGGGGACCCAGTGGACTTCTTCCTGCTGGTGGTGGTGGTAGGGATGGTACTCATGGGTGTCTTCTTCAGCACCCTCTTCATCTTCATGGACTCAGGCACCTGGGCCTCTTCCATCTTCTTCCACCTCATGACCTGCGTGCTGGGCCTTGGCGTGGTCCTGCCCTGGCTGCACCGGCTCATTCGCAGGAACCCACTGCTCTGGCTTCTTCAGTTCCTCTTCCAGACAGACACCCGCATCTACCTTCTAGCCTATTGGTCTCTGCTGGCCATGTTGGCGTGCCTGGTGGTGCTGTACCAGAATTCCAAGCGTTCATCTTCTGAGTCCAAGAAGCACCAGGCCCCCACCATCACCCGAAAGTATTTCCACTTCATCGTGGTAGCTACCTACATCCCAGGTATCATCTTTGACCGACCTCTGCTCTATGTGGCCGCCACCGTGTGTCTGGCGGTCTTCATCTTCCTGGAGTATGTGCGCTACTTCCGCATCAAGCCCTTGGGTCACACTCTGCGCAGCCTCCTGTCCCTCTTTCTAGATGAACGAGACAGCGGACCACTCATCCTGACGCATATCTACCTGCTCCTGGGCATGTCTCTTCCTGTTTGGCTGGTCCCCAGACCCTGCACACAGAAGGGGAGCCTGGGAGGAGCACGGGCACTAGTGCCCTATGCCGGTGTCCTGGCTGTGGGTGTGGGCGATACTGTGGCCTCCATCTTTGGCAGCACCATGGGGGAGATCCGCTGGCCTGGCACCAAAAAGACTTTTGAGGGGACTATGACATCTATATTTGCACAGATCATTTCCGTAGCTCTGATCTTAATCTTTGACAGTGGAGTGGACCTGAACTACAGTTACGCTTGGATTCTAGGGTCCATCAGCACCGTGTCCCTCCTAGAAGCATACACCACCCAGATAGACAATCTCCTTCTGCCTCTCTACCTCCTGATACTGTTGATGGCCTAGCTGTCATGCAGCAGCAGTGATGGAGAGATGGACGTGGGCAGGGGGGATAGTCCCCACAGCAACCAGGCCCTTGGGCAAGAAAAGCAGATTGGACTTTTTAGTTGACTCAGATTTAAAATAAAAAAGCAGAGCTCTCCTGGCTTTAGTTTTGCTGATGTTTGGAAAGAGTAAAAGGCATAAAGGCTAGTGAGACAGCTCAAAGGATGTGAGCTATAAAGCCTGCTCTCATCTGGCAGTCAGCGGGACCGAGGAGGCAGGAGACTGCGTAACAAAAAGTGAACACTGTGGGTTCTGGGTTCACACTGATGTCAATATCCTTGGCTCCACAACTTCTTAACTGTGTAGTCACTTATACAGGCTGAGCCTCAGTTCTCTCTGCAAGATGGGAATAGTGACAAGCTTACACCTCCAGTGAGATGAGGGTGTGAGGTGTCCAGCCTAGGGCTTGTCACTGTTGGGCAGTCAGTCAGAGAAAGTGTCCTAATTACTCAAGACTAGCCCTCATCATAGCAAACGGCCAGATAAGCCACGGGGTTTTATGGATTATCCTTGGGGACGAGGGTGACCTTTACTCTCCTAGTTTTACTTAGAGGAGGAGAAGGCAAGAGGAAGGGAGCCTAATGTGTGTGTTTTGTCCCTAGGGTGGGACTCGCCAAAGGAGAGGTGGGTCAGCTTATTGCATGTGTGCGTAAGGGCTGGGGACAGAGGGTCCCATCCTAGGCTGACGTCCCATTTCAGCCACCCCCACCTCTGCGCATGACTAACTGGTGTATTGCCTAGTACCTAGCCTGGCTGGGGCTGAACAGCAGATGTCCTGGGGTCCGCCCTGAGAGCACTCCATCTGTCCAAACCCGTTTACCTCCCTTGGCAACACTAGGAAGATCCACAGGGCTGGGGGAGATTGCTGGGAGTACAGAATGGCTCTACAGGGGTGGGCGTGTGAGGGCAGGCTCCCGAACACCACAGCATACCCCAGGGCTAGCACAGCCTGACACTAGCAGGAACTCCATGAACATTTCCTGTCTGTGGGAAGACAGCACGGCAGGAATCCGAGGCAGGGCAAGGTTGTCCCCCTTCTCACCCAGCCTGAGAGGGAGGGAGAGAAGGAAGAGAAGACCTTGGCCTACTAAGGCCAGATGCCAGGGAGCTAGAGCTTCCGCCCGGGAATCACTGCCCAGAGCTTCCCTTCAGAGGGCAGTATGGAGAATTTCCTTTGGGGTGCCACAGAGCTCTGACAAACCCATCCTTTCATTCAGCCTCTGTCCCTCAGTCTCCATTCCAGTGCTTGCCAAAGGAGACCACACAGTGTCGGGGAAGGGGCACCAGCTCGCAGCACTAACTCCCTGGGTGGCATTGGCTTGGCCACCTACAAAGCGGGGCGGTAGATTCATCAAGGCTCATATGGCTGCCAAGGCCACACAGGTGACATGAACGAGGACAGGAACCACAGGATAGCAAGTAACCATGGAGTTTAGACCTGAGGTTGTCTTGCCCAGTCTTTCAAAGAAGCTTTGTAACCTGGATTGTTCTCTGGAGTCTTCCATCTAAAACAATTTGTCTAAACACTGATGCCCAGGAGAAAACTGTGGCCCAGAATTAGCCGGCGGTCTCCAACACAACATCTAGGCCAGACCTCAGCTAAGCAGCTTTTGGATTTAGTAGTTGTTCAGAAAGTCTGGGTGCCTGCCAAGCATACCAAAGCCAGAAGGACCCCTGGAGGCCCTGGTTGGGACCCATTGTCATTATTAGTAGCAGTTTTAGTTTGGCTATAGAGCACATGTGCTTGCCAGGGATGGCCATGCCACAATCCCTTCTCTTGGGATTTTGTGTATGCATGCACATACACGGTGTGTCTTCTAGCCCCCAGGTCCAGGACTTGAACCACGCAGTTGGCAATGTGAGATCCAGCCACCTTAAAACACCACACCACTGGCCCCTTATACAGGTGGAAAAATGGTCCCTGAGAGAAGGGCCTGATCAGAGACCAGAGAGCAAGTTGGTCACAAAGCTGGGACCAGAACCTGGGACACTGGGTTCCTAGTGCTGGGCTTCTTTCCCCTCCCTAAGCAGGGAAGACTAGGCCACGTAGTGGTTGGGCGCCCTGGCTCCAGACTGGGCTGACAATAACCGAGCATCGGTGTGGCTTGGACTTATCACTTACCCTTTGGGGTAACTGCAAGCGCAGATGGGAAGAGCTCCTGTGGGCCTCCCTGAGGACAAGGACCGAGGAGGTACAGCGCCTACAGCGTAGCTCGGAGCAGGCATACCGCGAGTACTCGCTAAATGATACTTGTTCTAAAATCTCTCACGCCGGACAGGGCAGAGGCACCGGCTGACTGTCAGCGGAACTGTCATCCAGGACCCATCAAGAAGCTGCATTCAGAGGCCGTTTTTATTCAGTGTCTTACGCGGTAGGAGTCAGTGCGTCTGAAGGAGAAGAGTTGACAGGGGGCCAGAACGCTCTGGGTACAAGGCTTCAAGGGGGCAGTCATGCCGGGACAGTGGATCTCTGGGGAGCTTCCCACCCAGCTGTGGCTGCTGCTCTGCCACTTCTGCCTCTCACTTGCCCATCTGCAGGGCTGGGGCACAGGCTTTGGCAGGGGAGTCAGGAGGGTAGCCGAGACTCCCCGGGGCAGCCTCGAGGTGGTGTTGGCAGCCACGGCTTCGTCACCAGTCAGACCTCTAAGTGTACAGCACGGGGAAGGGCAGCTCTGGTGTTGGCTGGAGCCTGTGGCAGGGGGAGGGGACCACTGCTCTTCACCTCCAGTGCCTCTTCAAGGGACCATCTGGGGCCCACACCCACCCTGCCACCTTTACCAGTTCTCCGGGCTCCAGATGGTGCCGGAAGCCTCCATCAGGTGGAAGGTGTAGACGTGGCGTGAGCAGTCAGAGAGGTTGCACTCGCTCTTGTGCACCACTTCTCCATGAATTAGGACCAGGGCCCCTGGCAGGGACACGAGCAGGTCACGGGAGGCAGGAAGAGAGAGGGCCCCTCCTCCCTCGGGTGGTTTTGGGTCCCTTATCTCCATCTCCATCCCCATCCCTGAAAGCTCAGGTGCCTGTGGCCCACCCCAGGGTTGGAGGCCATGCTGCTTAGACAGGGGCTCCCCGGGGACCAAGCCCTCTGTGCTGTGGCCTCCCCTTCTGCAGCTCAGCCCAAACTTGACAGTGATGCAGAGCGGACAGAGGGCAGACTAACAGCCAGCGTTGTTGAGTGCCCGCCTGTGCCACATGGTCCTGGGAACATCGACGTCCAGCATCTCACTACCTCCCTACTTTCATTTGGGGAAACTAAGATTCGCAGAGATGCAGTCATTTGCCCAAAAAAACAGTTTGTGGCCCAGCTGCTGTGGCCCAGCAGTAACCCAAGTCCCGTGCAAGGCTGGGGGCCTGTGTCCAGCTGGGGTTCAGTCCATGGATTAGTCAGAAAACACACCAGGCAGCCAGGCTCCTGAGAGGCTGAGGGCGGGGGAGGGACGGCACACAATGAGAAGGCCCACCTGAGATGGTGCCCTGTCTTTCATGCGCATGCCCAAGGTCTCTACTCCAAAGAAAAGAAACAGCTCTTAAGTAGCAGAGTCTAGATTCTAGCCTCATCCCCAAGATCTTGCTGGTACCCACTGCCTGCCGACTCCAGTGCCCATCCAGCCCCACCTTCTGTCATTCTGTGGCCTCAGCCCTCAGAAGACCCTAAGGGGAGCAGTGTGGGTGCTGGTGATCGAGTAAGCATGACCCCTGCCTCCCGGCGCCCTGCACCACCTACCTCTCTGCACCGGCGTTGGCACGAAGAGGCTGTTATCCCGGACTGGCTCTGACCCGAGGAAGCTGGTGCCAGGTACCGAGCCAGCAGGTGCCCTGACCATCCTCCTTGACACTCCACCTGCAGCCAAGGTAGAACCTTTAGCCCCTCTTTTGTTTGGCCCCCGTTCTGGCAGGGGGTGAGAGGGTACAGGTGGGCAGGGGAAGACAGGGTCCTCACTGGTGTGGGAGCCAGGGATGAACCAGAGGCAGCCGTTCTCCAGCGTGGCATCCTCCAGTGCGATCCACATGCCCAGCACGCGGCCCAGGGGCTCCGTGTACAGGAAGGAGGCGTCCTGGTGAGGGGAGACTACAGCAGGCCCACAACTGAGACATTGTTCCTCTGTCTGGCCCCACCTCACCTTGGTCTCCTTTTTCACTCCTTAGTCCTCTGGGAATCCTCCAGGGCCAGCCTTCCTGATCAGTTAGAATCTGCCACATCCAGGCCTAGAACGTTTTTGTTTTGTTTTGTTTTGTTTTGCTAGAGGGTGTGTGAGCTCATCAGAGACAGAGAGAAAGCAAGAAGTCACTCCCTAAAGGGGTGACCATGTCACAATCCCCACTCTTCCATTCTCCTCTCGGAATCTGGGGCATGCACGCACATGCACCTGGTGTGACTTTCAAACCACTGGGCCCAGGACTTGAACTACCAAGCTGGCCGTGTGGGGTCCAGCCTCTTCAGCCTCCACACCACCTGCTGACCCCAAGCCTAGTAACTTTAGGCAAGAGATTTCATGTCTCATGGCCCCCCTCCCAGAGCTGATGAAGGACTCTGTGAGATTCTGTATGAGAAGGATGCAGTGCAGGGCCTGGCGTTATAGCTACTTGCTAAAATGTACCGCGATTACTTTATTCTAGCCAGGCAACAAGAGCCACTTCTTCTTTTTAAAGAGAGATTTTTTTTCTTTTTGCTGTAGGATGCATGTGCTTGCCGCACACAGAGAGAGACAGAAAGCGAGAACTCCCCCACCAGGGGTGGTGGCCACACCACAATCCCTTCTCCTCCGTTCTCCTGTCAGGATTTTGGGCATGCACACATACACGCTCAGCGTGAGTTTCATGCTCCGGGGTCTGGGGCTTGAACCACCGTCAACTTCATGGGAGTCTAGCAATGTAACTGCTATGCCATCTGCTGGTCCCTAAAACCATGCTTCTTAACCAGGAACAAGCAGTTATCAGACACCAAGTGACAAAATATCTGGAAATAGGGTGCCAAGCAGATGGATGACTGACCAAGAATCTTTTTTCTATTTTGTTTGTTTGTTTGTTTTTGCTATAGGACACATGCACTTGCCCAGAGACAGAATGTGAGAAAGCAGCCCCCAAGGGGGATGGCCACACTGCAACCCCTTCTTCAGTCTCTGGGATCTGGGGTACACACACGTACACACAGTGTGTTTTTCAAGCTGCTGGGTCCCAGGACTTGAACTGCTCATTAGCCATGTGGGATGGAGTCACCTTAACCACCACGCCACCATGCAGTCCCACCCACATTTTTAAACGCTTCCCCACATAATACTGGGGCACAGCAGGATGGAGAGCCTCTGAAAGAGGGAACAGTAGAGGGGAGCCAGGCTCGCCCCTTTCCTTCCTGGTTAGCTGGGACTTTGACAGTCCAGGTGGTGCCCAGGGGGAGGTGTGCTTATAGTGGGGGCAATCCATCCAGGAGAGGAGTGGTGGAGGGGACTGGGTGGGGCAGAAAAGGCTCAGAAGGGGAGGGCCTGTCCCCCAGGGCTGAATGGTGGGGAAGGAGTCGGTGGCCACGAGGAGGCTGACCTGGGCTCATGTAAGGAGGGAATGGGTGGCCTGTGAAGGGCTGAGCTCCCTGTCACCAGAGGCATTTGAGCAGAAGCAGACGGTCGCCCAACAGCAGTCTGTTAAGGGTCTCTGTGCATTGGGTAGGGTTTGTAACTAGCTCAGTGAATTTTGCGCTGAAGCCGCCCAGGGAGGGTATTAAAAATACACATTCCAGGCCCAGCAAGAGCATGGTGGTTAAGGAGACTGGATCCCACCCAGACCCAGTGGCTTGGAAAACGGCCCTGTAGGTGTGTCTGTGCATGTGTGTGCGTGCGTGTGTGTGTGACCAGAATCCTGAGAGGAGAACGGAGGAGGATATATTGCGGCCTGGCCATCCCCCTCCCCATACACATACTCTACAGCTAACTTTTAAAAAGTAGAGTCCAGGACCAGGTGGTGGCATGGCAATAAAGCGCAGCCCTCCGTAAGGCAGTCTTGCGTGGGACGGTTCCCAGGGCGAGTCCAGAGGTCTCCCTGAGTCTGCCAAGCACATAATCCAGCTGCTGAAGGCCGGGGGCCGGGGATCGTGGCATCAAGACCCTACCGAGGGTGCTGTCTCTGCCTCTGTGTGTCTCTCTCTGTCATTTAGGGAAGAAAAACAAATTCCTAGGCCCATTTGTACATACTGGCTTTTGATCTCAAGGAATGAGTTTCAGGAATCTGAAATTTTAAGAGAGGTTTTTGGGGCTGGCAGGGGGGCTGGTGATCAGAGGCACTGGACCCCCACATGGCTGACGCTACTCAAGTCCCAGACCTGGCGCCGCCGCGCTTTCTCTCTTGCCCTTTCTCCCTCTCACTCTGTCTCTCTCTGGTTAAATTAAAAATAAATAAAGTTAAATGAAATAATACCTTTTTTTTTAAAAAAAAAAAGGAAAGAGATTTTTGCTGTAGGGTATGTGAGCTTTCTACAAAGACACAGAGAGAGAAAATGAGAAACCCCTCAGGGGAGATGGCCACACTACAATTCCTTTTCTTCCATTATCCTCTTGGGATTTGGGGCATGCATGCACACACACCCAGCATGAGTTTCAAACCGCCAGGTTCGGGACTTGAACAATGGTTGGCCATGTGAGTGGGAATCCAGTGCCTTAACCACTACACTACCTGCTTGCCCCAAGGAATCCAAAACTTTAACCAGCTCTGGGATGCTGTCAGGCTTGGGACAATTGTGCCACGGGCTGCCTCCCAATCCACCTTTCTGGGAACGAATGAAAAGTGGCTCCCCCAGCCCTGGCCCAGGTTCCTGTCCACTGAATCACAGCAGTCACGTGCCCCCTCTGGAGACCTGGCGACCACTGACATCCCAGACCAGCCTGCTGTCAGCTCACCTTCGCCGCCGATGTGAGGTTGCTGCGAGAGAGAGGGAGAGCCCAGTGAGGACGGCAGCACAGCCCCACCTCTCGGGTGCTGCCCTGGCTACACGTTTTCCTCCTTGGATTCCACATCAATGCCCGGCTACCAAGTGAAACCATCCTGCCCTTCAGAGAGCTTCTGTTCTACACAGGAGAGCCTGTGCCCAAAGGACCACAGAGCAGGACCAAGTGAGGGCTGGGAGGAAGGGCTAGGACACAGACCAGGAGCTGAACTCATCAGTCTCAGGTAAGGGAGTGGTCCCTCTTTCCTTGGGGGACCTGGAAGGCTTCTCAGAGGAGGTGGCTTCCAAGCAGGGCCTGGAAAGCTGAGAGCAGAGCATTGCAATAGCTAAGGAAGGGAGGAGGAAGTCCTGGGGGGGTGGGCCCCCTTGGTTCCTATTACTAATTATTTTTTTTTAATTTTGTTAGCACGTACACTCGCTGGGGATGGGAGGGGTGTGGAGAAAGCGCTCCCATGGGGAATGGGCACACTGCAATTCCTTCTCCATTCTCTTCTCAGGATTTTAGGCATGTATACAC